CAGGGCCTGCACCAGCTGGCGTCGCTCTACCCGAGCGTCCTCAGCAACGTGCGGGGGTCGGCACGTACGTGGCCGTGGATTTTGCGTCGCCGGCGCAGCGCGACTCGCGGTCACGCGCCTTCGCGGCGTGGGGCTCCAATCGGGCGGCTGCGGCGACCGGTCTCTGCGCTTCCGACCCGCGCTCGTCTTCCAGCCCAAGCACGCACGCGAGACGCTCGAGCTCATCGACCACGTCTGCAACGGGCTCAAGTGAACACGTGTGTTGTGTGTGCTTGCATGAAAAATATATATACTCGGTGTTGTAAGCGTGCGTTGAAGGAGGCAGCATGAACAAGCCAGCCGTCAATGGCGAGAAGAGTGAGGACATGCCGATCGTCCTCGGGCCATGGCCCGAGTTCCCGACCCAGGCGTTCGTGGGCTCATCGAGCTTGCCGCGCTACATCGAGCCCACCGCGGTACAGGCAGTTAGCTCCCTCTGCGTAGTGGACGAGGGCCAAGGTGGGGCCATGCCGAGCTGCGTCGACCTCCAATATCGCTGGCATCAGCGTGTTTGCCATGCCATTGTAAGATGAGGCCACTACTATCTGTGCAGGTTTTGTTCTCGTGGACCCTCCGTGGCTTTCTCGCGTAGCGCCTTGAATGCATCTGCGGGGCGTACTACTCGTGTGCTTGCAGCAGACCATCCGCCGACGCTGGCCGCTCGAGCGCGACCAAGCCACTGACTTCCTATCCACCTCCTCGCCGTCGCCGGATCTTGCATGTCGCTGCGTCGTCCTTGCCCGTGGAGCCGCGACGACGCCATGGCCTGCATCGTGTGAATCATGTAGGCGAGGCTGTCCATGCCCTCTTGGCTGCGTTGTCGTCGTCGCGCGTCACGTGTTCAGTAGAATTACGGGGATTACTTGAGCGACGCAATGAGCGCCTTGAGCTTGTCCTTGTCGGCGCCCGTGAGCGCTTCGACCTTGACGCCGTTGCGCCAGAACTGGAAGGTGGGCATCGCGCTCACGCCAAGCGCCTCGGAGAGCTCGTCGCTCTCGTCCACGTCGATCTGGAAGAAGGTGGCGTCCGGCGTCTCGTCGGCGTACCGGTGGAAGATCGGCTTGATATACTGGCAGGGCGGGCACCACGAGGCCGTAAAGTCGATCACGATGAGGCGGTCCTTGTACTTGTCCTGGGCGATCTCGGCCTGGAAGGCGGCTTCGCTCGCAAAGTGCTTGTTCTCGACGGCCATGCTGCTCGCTGGAAATGAATTCGAAATGAGCGGCTCCACGGGCAATTATAATAAAAGAAACAAAACCATTCAATAAAATACCCTGAACTCGCGGCCGTTCGGGAACACCGCCGTGGTTTTGATTGGCCAACAGAAAAATGCTTTCGACCAATCACAATGCAACCCCACGTCCCGATCGCACGTCCAAGAAAAGTCGTTGTTTGTGCATGGGAAAGAGAGCGCGAGAAGCAAGGAGGAATATATTGAGGCAAGGATTGGTATTGGAGGAGGTTCCAGGAGGTGGATTGGTCCAGTCGTAGCTGGGCGGCATGATGTTTGCATCGGTCTGCCTTGGAACGCGGGAGACCACACGATCACCAATATGGCGGGAATGTAATATCTAAAAATAGATTCTCGACACGGATGTCATTTGCGACGTACTCTAGTTCCTCTAGTACCTCTAGTACTATTATATGTTCTGTCCGTTCGAGCTGGTCTGCGTCGCTCTATACAACAGTGACATCACTTGTAGGTTGCGTTCTCGCAGTGCGATGACGTCGTGGACGTTGAAGTGAACGTACTATCTCGAGAGAGTTTTGCGCAATCTGCGTCTCGCCCATCTGCAGGCGCTTTCAGCCCCGGGTGAGGTCCACGACAACGCACTCGGTAAGGTTCTTCCAAGCTTTAGATCTGGAGAAAAACTACATGGCTTCTGGAGGTCCTCGAGAGACACGATTGATTGCGGTGGATATAGATAGGGTGTAGATTCCACGCCCTGTTTGGCTGTGTGCATGTACTTCAGTACCAAACACGCTGCTGCGAACATCGTCTTCTTTACAAGTAACAGAATAAAAACAATGAGCCAAATCAAGGGAATCTGTTGAACCAAACCAACGCTAGACCGCGGACGCGATGTTCGTTGATCGTACATTGGCGCTACCAGTGAAATAAAGCTGGCAGCATTACCGGTAAGCGATCTGCTCGCTCATGGCCGTATCGCTCGGCCAGAAACTCGGAAAAGCGTAAACTTGAGGTTCTGGCGCGCGGAGATATTGAGGTATTATGGTACTTTGGATGTCCAAGGCCGGGATGTTGAGAGTCAGCGTGATGTTGTCGAGTCGCTTGAGTAGTGCCGTGGCGCAATGGGCGCTGAAGTGGTGCGTGGGCGGCTGCCAACGGGCAAGGATCGACCGGTCGGTTCGTCCCTACAAAGTCCAACCAACTAGTCTAGCACGAACGTTAGTCCGAGCACGAAGGCATTTTTGTGCAGGCGGGGCAAAGAAATCGCCGCGGTCTCGGTTGCGGTGTTGTGATCAAGAGACACAAGCCGTGATGGCTTGAAATTCTAATGCTCCATTGCACGAGACAAGTGCCTCGTCCCCAGAGGTGCTTCTTTTGAATTCTTGACGCGCAGCCACTAGCGCATTCTGAACAGGGCCCACGACACAGAAACAGCGAGCGGCACGGTAATACAAGGTTGTGTACATGCGACTCGCACAGAAGATGCGTGGTGTCTCGCTCGCCACTTCTGCCCCCTTGGGTTGTTGTTGTTGAATTGGGTCCTCTATTACAATAGATAAAACTATGCTAAATAAAATTGTCGGACTTTCTTCGTTGTGTGTACTCGGTTGAGGGACTTGATTTAGGCAGGCGGAGGCAGGAGCGCAATCCGCGGGACGAGGTGACGTCGCGGCCACTCGTGTTGGGCGAGGAGCCGGAGAAGCCGACGAAGAGCAGGCTGTTCGG